TCCAAGTTTTTGGAGGCGATTTCTTGCTCTCGTGTTGTAGTTGAGCCTGTAAGTTCAGGGACGTATGAGCCATCATCGAAGCTGAACTTAAAGGTACTACAAGACATCCTGAAGGGTATCTTCAAGATCCAGAAGGATGAGGAGCTTGCCAAGGAACGTGATGAAGAAGAAGAACAGGCAGCTCAAAACATCTCATACCTGTTGGCAGATGATATGGAGCTTGATTTTGATGATGATGATGTTCCAGTGTGGCGCTCCATTGTCGACAAGTATAGAGGAGGTGATCAGGTGCTACAGGGAGAAGCTGTGAAGATTACTCACCTGTTCAGGGATCAAAAGGACAATGAGAAGGCGACAGAAGCTTTCAGTTCAGAGAGGACAGATTTTTACGAGACCTCAGGACCTCTTCCAAGAACCGAGGGAGAAAATCTTGTAGAGGACTTGCTCACCAAGGATGTTGCAGAACAAGCTTTTGAAGCAGGTGAAGAAGTTCCTCCTTATACAAGAGTCTCCACTATCGCTGTTGAAGTCTATACTGGAAGTATGACACTTCTAGAAGATGAGAATATGGAAGAGGAAGTTCCTGAAGAAGATCCTGCAGTTGAACCTGAAAAGGAACAAGAAATATTTGATGAAGATGCAGGTATTTTTCCTTCAGAGGAACCAAAGATGGAAGTTGACCAGGAGGAAGCCAAGGAAGAGTCAACACCACACTTTCTGTCAAGAGAGATAGGTGAGGACTCGACTGCATCGCACTTACCATCAGGTGAGATGGATGCTAACCTTGATGATACTTCAGGTCAGCGGAAATCGAAGAGAAGCCGCCTGAATAAAATTCCTGATCCTCATTTTCATGAAGAAGTTCAGGATGATGCAACCATGGAAGAGAAGAAAGAGGCGGTGGAGAAAATAAAAGAGGTCAGAGAGGATGATGGAGAGAAGAAATTGGAGGCTGAAATCCAAGAATCTTTTCCATCTGAAGTAGTTGTTGAAAAAGATACAACAAAAGCTGACGATACCTATGAATTGCATACTTCACCTTTGAAGTTGCTTGGAGAGATTACAGGAGATCCAGGTATTGGCTTTTATCAACTATGCTTCAGGGAAACTCATGCAAGATTGCTGAATCATGTTTGTTTTAGAAAAGGTGAGATTTCCCATCCTCATTATCAGTCGAGGATCAACGAGAATGATTTTGTTCGATCCATTCGTAATATCTGTCCAGTACCTCCACCTGATTGTTATGAACATGAACCAGAGCATGATTTGAAGAGATTCTTCATCAATGATGACCGCATCATTTATTTGGATGGCAGGTATCAGGTCGATCCAAAGGCCCTTGAAAGGGCAGAACATGCTCGAGAAGAATTGGAGGAGACGAAGAAGGAACTCAAGAATGAACTGGAAGAATATGGTCCCAAGGGACCCAGTTGGGACTTTGTCACCTTCTATGAAGAGCTGTGCAGAAGGTTCCTCAAGGGAAGAATAGAAGAACCATATGGAACTAATTTATTGGCCAGCTCAGAGTCCTTGACATTTTTATCCTGGAACTATGGCAACATGGTTCGTGGTCAGAAGTACACCACACCAAGGTTTCTCCAAGGACTTGATAGTGCAATGAGGCCACGCAAACAGAGCGCCATGTCACTTCAGAATGAGCAATTTGAGAACAACCTTTTCTTCAACATGCTCTTCTTTTTACGTGCACATGTCGTGATTCTCCAGGAAGCTCATCTTCTTGTTCCTGCCAAGGAATTTATTGAGCAAAAGAATTGGACAGTTTGTTTCAATGATTGGGAGAATCTTGCAGTGATGGCTAGATTGGCACCAGGTGGATATGTCAAGATCATTGCTGGACATGATCAAGAACTTGGTCACTGTGAACAGCGTGATGTAACTTGGGCTATCTACGAGATTTGTTTTGGAGAAACAAGGCCTCGTCAAGATTTCAAGGATGCAGACTTTGAATTTGATGACTATGGTCCTGAGGACAAGCGTGTTCCACTTACTCGAGCGAACATGCATACCATCAGAGTCTGTAATTATCATGTTGATACACACCGTGCTGTGGATGCCCACCTACTGACAGGAGAACAAACAGCATTGATGCTTTACGAGTGTTTTGTCTATGAGGTGGACATCATTTCTGGTGATGCAAATAGTTTGGCCTACAGAATGTCTGGGTACAAAAGGCAGCCAATGGCTAATTACTATTATAGCACCATGCAGCATTGGATCCGCAAGTTTTCAGAAGCTCGTGTAAAAGCAGATCTTGGTATCAAAGCACCTATTCCCAGAACATTTTACAGTTCAACTTCACAGGTCCTCAAGAAGTGTGAAGTTTACTTTGATAAACTCTGGGAAGAATATTCTACGGTTGAAAGAGAAGAATACCAAGGATCACAGCTTGGCGATACATGTTTGTCTACCATTGTTGAATGGGGTCATTCAATGAGTGAAGAGGAATATGAAAATTCCACAGTGAGCACGAAGGAGTTCATCTGTAATTTTTCAGAGAACTTTGCTATGATTGATACAGAGGTTATGTGCTCAAGGCCCACTGACGAGGACAGTCATGGTCCAATGTTTATTTCACTCAGACCAGCTTCCTTTTCATCTGGAGACAGAAGACAGTATCGCATGGGAGCAACTCTTCATGAGGCTAACTTGAGGAGGAAGGAGAGACAAAAGCAGAATAGGAAGAAAGGAAGGCCGCCAACCTCTGGTCAAGCAGCTTCATCGTCTGCAGCGGCATAATTCCTGAGCGAAGGCTGAAATTTAAATGATGGCTAGGAAGTGAAGATACTTCTGGTTACAGTTGATACTTTGCTTCCAAGCTTGACTTTAAGTTGCCAGGCTGAAGTTTTAATGAACTCTGGTTTGCAACCAGGAGAAACTTTTTATCAAAGAAGATACTCCTGCATTCCAGGTTTATACGCTTTAGCATGTAGATAGGTATGGACAGTTTTGCATAACTGATGATATCTATCACAGTCGCTTTTCTGAGATGACCTCTAATGGACAACCAGTCATGGTTGATGATTAAGTCATTTCATGATTGCAATTGTAGTGCAAGATTTTTTGTACATACATTTGCCGGTATCTCCTTCTTGTGTTTTTGATGTGAATGTGGAAGAGAGTCCTTTTGATGCAGTTTATTTTGTCTGTGAATGAAAGCGGTCGAGACCACGTCACGAGAAGATTATTCCTCGGACCGTACGCTCCTTGCATTTTGCAAGGCATCTTAATTCATTGCATTGTGCGGTCTTGAATTTTTAGTTCTTTGTTACGCGAGTGTCGTTTGATTCTTTTATAGGTCTCTGTAGAGAAAAAGCCGCTTTCCCTTTTAGTTTGATTTAGCTCAGGCCATAAAGAGCTAGTGAGCGCCGGTACATGGTATCTCCGCCTGCGAAAAGTACAGTCTCCAGCCGAGGTACATTATCGATTTGATCTTGTACTTGAGGTGAGTCAGCTATTGCTCCCTCACTGTATTTAGTAGCTATGAGATTATCTTCTCCAAAGTGTGAAACACACTGGATTAGATAAGTACATGGCACCGTAGTTTTCTTTTAAGTTGTCAGAGCTAGCTGGACTGTTTTAGCCTTGCAGTAGAAAAAGAGTATGCGACATACGCAATCAGCTAGAAGTGGACATGAATCTTGTGCCTGCTGAAAAGTAGAGCCTACCTGTACAGGGTTCCACTCCAACAGCTGATATAGTGTGTCCATGCTTGACTGCTTCAAGGCTCAAGAGAGGGTCAATGGACCTAAAGAGCAAGAGGATAAGACTCTGCGCATAAAAGACACTAGCGGTCTGCACCTCTACCGTGTACGCCCTAGTCACTCTTTCACCCCCCGCCCCCTTGGAATTGATTTTTCAATACAGACCCCCCCCCCCCCCCCCCTCCCCCCCTCTAAAATCAATTCTCTCCTGGAGATCGTCTTCGTGAGCCTCTCATGATTTCAGGATAGTTGAAACCCTCTTGAACATTCGGAAAGAGTGAATATGAAATTCTAATCACGAAAGGTGTTCTGTGAAGCGCGTCAATTCTCTCCTGGGGAGCGTCTTCGTGAGCCTCTTATGGTTTCAGGATAGTTCAAATCCTATGATGTTCCGATTCAATGCTCACCGATGATCTGAGCCATGGGGCAAGTTTGTTTTCCTAAGAATCTTTTTGAACATTTCGAGAGCACATGTTTGAACATTTAAAGTGCATATGAACATATATGTACGAAAGGTCGCCTCCGAGGGGATAAATCACCATGTCGAACATTGCATTTTTGTTCCTGCCTCTCGCGTTCTCTTCTCTTCCCGCTGTCCTACCTTTCGTGTCTCCCTCCTCTCAAGTGACTCAAATGATTTCAAACGACGGCTTGTGTTTATGATTGTGGCCCTCCCCCCGGCCACTTCCTCGATGCACACTGGTTGCACGGGTCAATAGTCAATATACCTGGTTACCTGTTTTATGCTTTATGGATAGGTCGAACACTTCTGCTCGGCGGGGCACGTGTTTCAGAGTTAAGAGGCTGAGTGAGTGTTTGATGCCCGAAATTGCGCATCCAATGTCCAAGAGGCGCGTTTCCCAACTTCTAGTAGCTAGAAACTATTTGGTTGGAGGCCATCGCAAGTAGGTTGGAGGCCAATTCCTTAAATAATAATGTTCTTCTTGCAAGAAGACCGCCACGCTATGGGCATCGAGAGCCCAACGTTATGTGGGGCCTATCAATGACTTTGTCAGTCTTGTTCCTAGGTGTTTGTAAACCCTTTTTGTCAAAGACTCGAATTCGGCTCCCAAGCCTAGACAACAACCAAGAAGAGGGACATCAGCAATTGGTTGGGCTTGTTTGGCTTTGTTCCACCACAGAACACTCCTCGGGTTTTGATTCTTGATTAAGGCAGACAGTTAGGATCCAAAAGATTCGGACACGTCCAACCAATTCCCACAGCGCTCCTGTACTTATTCAGAGTCTGGTGATGGGATGAACTGTTGCAAGACCCAGGTCTGGCAGCAAGCCTTGAAGAAGCTCGAGCCAAGGAGGATGGGAATCTCATGTGCGAGGCCTCAAGGGCCTTTGCTCCAAGACGGACCATGACAGCCGTATTGTTGGTGTCATGTCCGCCTTGACCTCAACTAAAAGGTGCAGAGTGGCGTCCCTCAACTTCAATTTCGTTTGATAGATACTTGCCCTGGAACCCCCAGTCCGCTGTAAGACACCCGATGGGCAAGTGGACAACGGGATGCCCCATTGAAATCCATTGTGAATAGATAGATGTTTTTCGGAACCTCCCGCCGCTACCAAGGACCAAGAACCCAACACCACCCATACCATACCGCTCCGTCTCCTACGTGTTCGCAGGTGTTGGGCAACTGCGTCGACGCATTGAAGGTTGCCACACGGGTGCCCACGAGGAGGGAAGAGATGTGAAGCGGAAAATCCCACTGTGAAACCTTCGATTCTTGGGTAGCAATTGCCATGCCACAAATTAGTCTGGGCTTTCTTGGATTTGGGGTGTCCTCAGGCTGGACGACCTTCCACGTTTTCTCTACTTTGGCCGGGCATCCCGCCAAAAGAACTTTCTCAAAAAAACGATCTCATGGGAGGTGTTACTCTTTGCGCTATATTATCTTATTCCAAAGGGATTACGCACCGGCCCACCCCATACAGAAGACATTGCGACCTTATACTACATATATGGTCAGCGGCCCGGTGAGCTACATGGAAAGCAGGTTTTGCTCGTGACTTTGAGGTCCTGGGATGTGTCTTTGAGACTGGTGAGCAAATTCATGCCGGGGGGGGGTCATTTTGGAAATGGATCGGGTCACGCTTTTGGGGGATCTACTACCTTGGACGTTGAGAACATGATGGAGAATGGATATATCCAATGGCTGCTACCTCATGCTGTCCGTAGTGACTTCAAGATATCTCAATGCATGCTTGAACGGACAGATATATTCAGATACACACACATACATATATGTAGATACAGATTAGTTAACACATAATTGGATATATTACATTATACGAACCAACAACAAGCTGCGGCCTGATGTTGGTTTGCAGGACACCTTCAGAGCTGAAGCTGCTGCATCTACTTTGGCGCTCTTTGAACTCACTGGAGCTGTCGGTGCCTAGGTGAGAACACCACCCCACTCGTGACTCGAGCGATGGGACCACCAGCTTGTGATGTCACAAGCTGACCACCTGCAGTCATTGAGACGCAAGCTGACCATCATGTGAGGTGAAATAGAGATTTCAAAGGGTCCAGGATGCAGCTTAGGAGCCTGAGCATGCCGCGGATGACCTGACTTGTGACTACTGTCAGGGAGTATTCCATGAACCCATCATATCATGATTCCAATTGTTGACTTATGGCAGCAGCGATCGCCCTCCCAATCACGAACATCGAAGTGGAAGATTGTCCCTGAAAAATAGATGTCTTACCAACAGGGCGAACTCCGCTTCCATCTTAGCGAGTCGGAGGTGAATTTCACATACAAACAATTGGATTCAAACAATTGGAACTGTTACAGTAATTCAAAGTTTATCAATTGTTTGTGTTCCCCCGTTTTTTCACATCCAAACACTTGGAACAAATCCCCTTTTCGATGCCTCCGCCAGGGAAATCCCCTCCAATGTCGAGGACTCTGTAGGGTGGATCATGAACAGGATTTCTCCATCCATGACGCCAATACACAATGGAGTAAGCTAGCACCTCAATCTTCTTCTAGCCGATCAAATGCAAGGAACATCATAGGCTCACAGGCTATCAGTGAAATCTAACCCCCCAAGACCCCTACGCATGAAGCATTGTTTCCCACCTCAAGCTCGCTGCTTTGGTGCACTCAAGGGCCCCACACTTCTCAGCTTGCGCCCGGCCCTGGACTGCTGTGCTGCGCTCGGTGCACACTGCGCAGCACGGAGCATTGCCTGGCACCGCGTGGAAGCCTTGCTACGATCGCCATCCAAGGGGGGCGAGAGGCAAGGCCCCACCGGGCGTTTTGGGTGGGCCAAGTGCGATACCACTGACCCTGCGTTCAGGTAGTCGGACCCTTGTGTTAGAACTGGCACCAACCGGCCATTGACCAGTTTGTTGGACCCAACCGACATGTTCGTCGGATCAGGTCGTCCTAATGAGTCCCCTTTGTAGATTGGAAGTCCGAGAAAATGAACTTCAAATCCAATTTACTCAGCACCTATATTTATCATTGTGGATCGATGCAGGCAGATAAAAATGGACTTTTGCCCTTCACAACTACTCCCTCTCCTAGCCTCTCCCACCCAGATCGTGCATGGCGTGCGGATCGCGTGAGGAGCACCAAAGCTGTTCCAAAGCGCTGGGAGGCCAAGTGCAACGTGGAGGGCTGTGCGAGCCAAGCACGTGGCCGGGTGAAGGACCGCTCAGATTGACTCACCACTCTAGAGAAAGGAGGTGCCCCTTTTCCATCGGTAGCAACCTCTAGCAAACCGAACCCTTCTGAAGAAAACATTAAGAGCGTTCAATAATCAATAATCCTATATTTGCACATGATTCACATAAGTTTAGCCATCTTGAAGCTTCAATGTTTGAGTCTTGACCATGGAGCCCATGCAATCAGAAAAGTCGAACACCTGTCAGACGTGAAAAGCAAGGGAAACATCTAATCTATCATCTAGTCCAAAGCATCTGTTCTCTTCTCATCATCACCGAGTTTCGCATCGTTCTTGCCATGGAACGGGCGGGCCCCTAGGGGGTCGGTGGGTTCCGAACTCGACCGACCCACCCTTAAGAGGACTTGGATCTCTACGGCCCGGCCGGTCCCCGTTGTTGCCTTCACGGCGCCCGGCGTTGCAACGTCTTCGGCTGCAGCGGCTTCGCGCGCGCGGCAGCGGCGCGCGCGGACCGCTGGGGACCTGCTGGGAGGCGTGGTGGGGTGCCGGCTGGGATCCAGTGGGAAACCAACGTTATCAAAAAAGAACCGTTTTCTTTTTTGGGGTGGGGGGAGTTGGGGGGAGTGCCCAGAGTTCTGGAATTGTTCATATAGTCATAATCTACATATATAGAGGTGCCGAAAGACGATGAGTTGTGGTGCAGGCTTTTGGGGATGGATCAAGAGAATTCATGAGACCCAAAACTGCAGTAAGTAAAGGTGCCATGGCGTGGGGAGGAGCAACAGCAGATGTTTTGCCGGGTGGGGTAGTGTGTGTGTGTGTGTGTGTCAACCCCTGGGCCAAGGGTTCACCACCACTGACTTTTCCACTTTTCCACTTTCGCCCAATTTTCCACCATGACAGAAGCAGGGGGGCAGAGAGGACTTGCAAGGCTCTGCCCAACGAAGCTCTTTGCAAGATCCTAGGAAGCGGAAGCTGATCACTTCCGTGTACCTGCTCGTTCTTTCACAAGCTGTTACTCCACTTTTCCACTTTTTGATTCATGGTCCTTCATGCTACTTCCCCCCAAACACAGGTCCCCACCGCACGTTTCAGCCGCGTGAGAGTTGCCGTCAGCCGTCCGAGGGAAACTTTTGTTCAACAATTCAACTGATCTGACTCTTCCACCTTACGGTTCCATCGCCATTCTTCCCATCGTGGCAATTGAGTCTAACTGAAAACCAATGTCGAAGTGTGAACCGCTCAGTCTTCCCACATGCGTACTGGGTGTGACCCTCCGAAAGGAGGCGCTGAAATCATGCTGGAAATCATCGACCTTTCAATTTTATAACTGTCTTCCTGTTTGTTCAATTCTATCACTGAATTAACGGATTTTCGAGCCGCCGGGCTATAAACGATGGACTACCCATAAGAATTTCTGAATGTCTTCCGTTTTGCATTGCCATGATGTCGGTTTGTGCACTTCGCGTTTATCAATTTTTAATCCGCAGCCGTTTGATCAGCTTCCACATGGTCTATACCACTTCGCATTGCACTGCATGCCACGACTCCACCTTACCTCTCCTCATTGCAGACATTTCCACCTCACAACGCCACCGCTGCGGCAGAAGCGCTGATCCAACTATATGCCCAAAAAGGGCACGACCTGCAAGCGTGCAGGCGGTTTTTGAGAAAAGGTCCGTTCTCCACTGCTTTGGTTTTTGCGCCGATTGCGGCTTGTTGTGTGTGTCAACCCCTGGGCCAAGGGTTCACCACCACTGACTTTTCCACTTTCGCCCAATTTTCCACCATGACAGAAGCAGGGTGCCCAACGAAGCTCTTTGCAAGATCCTAGGAAGCGGAAGCTGATCACTTCCGTGTACCTGCTCGTTCTTTCACAAGCTGTTACTCCACTTTTCCACTTTTTGATTCATGGTCCTTCATGCTACTTCCCCCCAAACACAGGTCCCCACCGCACGTTTCAGCCGTGTGAGAGTTGCCGTCAGCCGTCCGAGGGAAACTTTTTTTCAACAATTCAACTGATCTGACTCTTCCACCTTACGGTTCCATCGCCATTCTTCCCATCGTGGCAATTGAGTCTAACTGAAAACCAATGTCGAAGTAAGTGTGTGTGTTGCTCATGCAATATCATTCAATCTGTGTGTCATTGACGGGCAGGGAGATGTTTCTGCACTGCTTGTTGGCACACACACACAACTGTCGTGATGATTGATTGGAATGCAAGCACTGTTTGCATGTCGTTTTTGCAATAGTCCTTGTGAGGCAGAGAGTAAGCAGTCCTCGTGAGGCACCTCTTCTCAAAAAGACACGGGCCCCCTTTCCTCCAAGTGTTGCGAAGGAGTGCCAGCTGATCACGTGCTTTGTCATATTGTCCAATTTTCTTCGGGTAAGAATGCAATTGGTTCAGGCAACAACGGCTTATCCACCAAAAAGGTGGCATAGCCCCACAAAGCGGTGGATGCATATGGTATATTGTTTGCAGTACTGTTTGCATGCGTTCACAGCCCCGGCCCGCGCTGGAGGCGCTGTCCGAAGCATTGCACTTCTTGGACCAGGTGCTGAACTCTTGTGAGGCATTTTCTGGGAGGTTCTTTTCGATTTTTGTCTTTAATCATGTTCAAGACCTTGCTTTGTGGATCCTCCTAGAATGAAACACTATAAATGTCGATCCTGTTCCCTGATCAAACATCTTGGGAGTTAGATTTTTATAGTCCCAAACTGGAGGGCCATCATAAGACGAAGGTTTTGGAGCAGAGGGTCCGCACAATTTATAAAAGGCCTGTTCCTTGAGAAGTGGATCACATTTCAGAGGGTCAATACATTCCGTAAAACATCAATTTCTGAAGCAGACACCAGCGATGGATTGCCTATTTTGGTTCAACACATTTTATACACAGCACAGGCTTTCACCCTGTCGATGTGCAAAACATATGAACCTTTTTGTCAGGCTGCTGTTTTGTTTGTGAGGGCCGCTGAGAGGGTCTGGGAGAGGGTCAATGCATAATTCCTTAGTGATTGAGTGTTTTCGCAGAGGGTCAACACATTCTATAAGCAGCGGGCTCCGCCATGCTGAAGTTGGCGTGTAGCGTCTTGACATTCTATAAATCCAGCGGTTTAACATTTTATAGTGAACTTTAGGTGGTTGTGCATTTTATAGCGCCTATTCTTTACGAAATGAACATCCACAGCCAGCTCCGGGGTTTTTGTGGCATCCTTCCACCGGCAGTGGCCCTCAGCGTTTGCGCACCCAGGTGGTGCAACGTCTCGGGCTGCTTGCGCTTTCCCCGTGGCCTGGTGGATGCCAGCGATGCCCTGGGACCTGCCGGGCACCGCTGCGACCGGCACGGCTGCGGGTGTCGGGTCGCCGGCTGCGACTCGGCACCGCGGTGATCCCCAGCGGGGTGGATCCAATCGGAGGACTTTTGATATCTTAAAAAGTGAATGTTGTTTTTCTTCAACTCTCCAGTAACTATTTGATTATATACTTATCTCGCAGCACTTTCCCAGCTGATAGCTATATATATTGAAACCTATTTGTGCACTAGATTGATGTAACTGGATGTCCGATGTCCCAGGAACCGTCTGACATTCTCTGGTCGGTCCCCTCGATCGAAACCAGGGCTTGAGATGGAAAAGATAAGGGTGAATATTTGTGTGTGCATTTTTGAGATGGAGGTGAGAACAGTGAATTTCCCATTGTTTCTGTTTGGTAGATCATGATTTAGTATATTTAGATGTCTTGATTGCATGTGACATGGAAAGCTATAGAATATTGTCTTGCGAAGATGACCTATACAAACAGCGTGGAACGGGCATCATGTAACAAAAAACATGGATTCGCAATTTATTTAACCATATATAATCATTAATCCATGATGTCAGCCACTGCCTGGACCAATTTCTCGAGAACACCTGGATTAATTTGGAAGTTGATCCAGGGTTCCTGCACCGGGGGGGCATCCTTTTCCTTGTCATGAGACATGCAAATCAATCCGGGAGAGTGTCAACGAACAACTCTTGGTGTCGACTGAGTCTAGTCTAAAGCCGTTGTCAATGCGCAACTTTCGATGGCCATGCGCAACGCCGCACACAGGTTCCAACGCCCCTTGGGGCCATGGTGCGCTGGGCCGAGCCTGTTGGCTTCACGGCGGCACCCGCTGCACGGCGCAGGAGCACATGGGTGAAAGCTGCGTTCGTCCGCCCCGGCGGCGGGTGGCGCAGGGAGATGAACATGGCCAGTTGGTGGCAATGGGATGGGAGTAGTATGGCTGCCCTGAGCTTGGATCTTTCGAGAGGACGAGTGGGATGGGAATGCAGATGCTACATGATGTTACTGGGAACGGGGTGATTTTCGGGGTTCAACAACGCCGATGGGCCAAGAGCCATGCGGGTTTGTTCGGAAGAGATGGGCCTTTCGCGTGCTTTGGGGTGATTCCGGCGCACCTGCCTTCCGCCTTCTATTCTATACAATCGCATGGATGGGATTGAGCAATTGCACTCCCAGTTGGCAAGAAGCCTTGATCGATATATATATATATATGTATGGGGTCAGAATTTGGGATATTTGGGCACATTGTGAAGGGCAGGAAGTTGAGGTGAGATTCCAACTCCTCAATGATCCACTACCGACCCACGAGGATGTGATGTTTTCCAAGAGATGCATTCAACATATGCCTCTTGCGCATTCATGTTGCTTGAAACCCTTCCCGCTCCAACGCCCTTTTTTAGGTAAGCGCATGACTTTCTTCATTTCTATAAGCAAAGTAGGAGCATGACTTTCTCAAGAGCTCCTGCTCTTTAAAGTATGACTTTCCTGCTCAGAAGATCTCAGCTCGACGCCTCAGGGCCCCCGGGCGCCCGCTGCGACCTGCACAGTGGGACCACGCGTGGAACCGCGCGGTGCTTCGGTCCGCACCGGGTGCGGTCACAGCCGGAGACGGTGAAGCCGGAGACGGCAAAGGAGCAGTGTATGGCGATCCGTGCCTGGGATTTGGCGGCAGAGGGTTGATAGGGGGTTGGAAGTTGTTCTTTGGGGGGGGGAGAGGGGGGTGCAGGGTGTTGTTTCCTAGAAATTGGTGGAAGGAACAGGTGTTCCAAATTGTTCGGATAGGTTTTCTCCTTCTTCTTCGTGCTGCCTGAAGTGTAAATGTTTTTTTGTTTCACGCACGCTTGGAACAGAGAAGGTGGACAAAGTGTCCTCGGTGAGAAAAAACAATGCACATATTACATTGTTTTTGTCATTCACACTTGATCTTGGGTTCTGAAGCCTCTTGGCCTCTGGTTGAGAGCCGCCATAGACTTAGAGGAGGATGCTGTTTGCCTCTAAGCATGGAACTGGAGCAGGTTCACTTTGCAATGCAAAGGCGCCTGTTTTTCTCACTGGAAGACCCTGTGCGTTGAATGGTGCCGAAAGATGTCGAATTGAATGACTGCAATACCTTGCAAGGTCTTGGCTACTGCAACAATGTTGCCGAGCTTCCTTTAGTCAGTCGAGGTCACTACAGGGGGAAGCGTGGCCAGAAGAAGCTTTGGCGCTGTGGGAAGGAGAAGTGTGGCAGCTCCAGGTATTGTTTGCATCATGAAGCCGCCATCCGCGAGCGAATACGGAAGGAGCGACCGACCAGTGGGGCGTTGATTTGGATGATTTGCAGACCTTCTTTTTAAACACCTTGTATGAATTGATATTAATTGTCTTTTCAATGTTTTTCTTTTTCAATTTTTTCAGGGATGAGTTCAGTTTTTTGTGCACTACAGGCTGCAAGTATTTGTCAGTGATCACGACAATCGCGGGCAGAATATGTGTATGTATGTATGTATCTATGTATGTATGGATGTACGTATGTAATGTAATGTAATGTAATGTAATGTATGTATGTAATGTATGTAATGTAATGTATGTAATGTAATGTAATGTAATGTAATGTAATGTAATGTAATGTAGTGTAATGTAATGTAATGTAATGTAATGTAATGTAATGTATATAATGTATGTAATGTAATGTAATGTAATTTAATGTAATGTAATGTAATGTAATGTAATGTAATGCAATGTAATGTAATGTAATGTAATGGTATGTATGTATGTATGCATGTATGTATGTATGTATGTATGTTTTTAGGTATATATATATATATTTTTTTTCTCACTATATATACATATATATATATCTTTCCGACTGCACATATTCCGGCTAAGTCCCCTCTTTGTGTGAACTGATTGGAATTTATGAGCGGGAGACGCAGATGCAGGCGAATTGGTAGGACTTGGCTAGGTGGCGGCTGTGTTTACTACTGAGCCCGTGCAAACGACAAAACTTCACTGTGAGGTTCAGAAAGATGACATGATTTTGCAGCTTCAAACAGGCAAGTTAGGGTTTGACGAGATATGACATGGGTGACAATATCATATGATTGTTTTGCTTGGGGAGCAGAATTCGATCCCCTGTTTAGAACTTCCTTGGAAAGATTCCAGTGCACCTGCAAACCAGAAAGCCGTAGGCAGATGGAGCAATCCCGTACCCAAAAAGACACAGTGGCCTCTATGTCAGTATGACTCTTTGGGTGTAGGTCATGCCTGGATAGACCCCTTTTGGGGGTCGTTTGAGACTTTTGCTGCGACCTCCCACCAGGACAGCGAGCGCAGGCGGGAGCGGCGGAAGCAGCTGAAGGACGCAAAGTGAGATGGCAACTGATTCCACTGAGGCCAGATGAACTGGATTTGCTTGGTCTTAGGTGTGCCTAGGTGACTAGCTGGTGGTTAGGACCAACAGGAGCCGGAATTAGTCATCAGGAGAACGGAAAACCAGTAAGCATCAATAAGCTACACAAGTTTCGAAACCACTAGCTAGTGTTGTGGCACCTTGGCTTGTAAACTAGGTGGGTTCTCATCCAGATCCCTTTGATTCAGTTTGGATCAGCCAACACTTATGTTTCACAGATGGACGAGCATGGCTTCATTCCGAAACACTGCGGCCTCGGTGTTTTCGCCGTCTCCTGGTTCTGACATTGGTGCGATTGTTTGTGTGGAAACACCTCCAGTTCCTGGAGCAACCTTGGTATGCAACAAACATACCATTTGTAGGCCAACAAACTTGTTTGTTGAAACCGGAGAATGTAACTTCTCCCATGGAATTGGTGGTCCAAGACTACCTCTCCGGGGAAACCCCATCATAACATCTCATGTTTCGTAAATATGTTTTTGTCCAGCATGGCACTTTTCCTTGTGCTTTGAACTATCGCACTTATTTTTTGGACTTGGGTGGTCCAGGATTATGGTAGACATGTGCCTGTTAGTGCATCTTTGATATGAAGGACGGTCTAAGAATTCGAAGGGGAACGTCTCAAGCATTCCCACTACATTACTGCCATCACAGACACCTTAGGCAAAGATCCTCGGAATGTCTCGGAATATCAAGGTTCTACTTGGTTGAATATTGGACGCCAACTCAAAGTGCAGGTAGAGACCCCCAACATGCGTAATTAGAACACCGCATGGGTGCTGCCGCTGGGGTGTCTCGAGAAAACTGTGCCAGTGCCAATAGAGTTTTACAGTTCCGCCCGGATGTATATGACTCTCCTGAGCCTTTGGCATGGGACCACCTGGTCTTTTTGTAGACTACGTACCCGAAAGTTTGGAGGACTTGGAGCATAAAGTTGTGGCATTCGTTCCAGTGCGATCACCCACCAGGGTTGGCAAGTTATAGGCTTGGAGGCTTCGGACGGACTCCCCTACCTTTTTAAAACTGCTTTCAGACATAGAATGGGTGTCACATGTTCTGAATTCCCTCTTTCGATCGTCTCCCCTGAGGATTTGGGTGGAGCTGGCAGGAGGTCAATGGGATCAGCAGAGCATGGGACTGCGGGTTGAACGGGGGCGGCAGGTGGGTTTGCATGTGTTTTGTTTCCTCTTGGATTGGCCGAGGTTGCTTCCCTCCTCGATGAAGTTTTTGGGTTGAGGGACGGTGAGGGACGGTTGGCAGTATACGACTTCCAGGTGAGCAAAGTATTGAAATTGATTGAACTTGTATTGAAGCGATGCCGGTACATGGATGCATTGTGCAATATTATGCAATAATGCAATATTATATGCTTAAGATCTGACTGGCTCCAAGTAGTATGGAATGGACAACTTTGCCCCACAAAGATCAGTTGCTGAAATTTTCAGGGCCAAGGCATCCTGCATGCGAAGGTGGCCTTCTCGAAAGATGGAAAGTGAACTCGAAAACCCATGTTGGGTGAGCAGGTGCGCTACTTGCAGTCACATGTTGTTACATCTTTCCCATTGGCACAGTTGCCTATCTAAAATATATCAACAACATTCAAAAACGAGGTTCTGGCCGCTCAAAACATCATAAACATCTCCAGGTGTTGAGAAAGCCCTACTCCACAAAACCCAGGTGGGGTCTGTGGCTTCACGCTGCTGCACTTTGCCGCCTTCGCGGGGAAGAGCAAGGCCTGTCAGACGCTGATCGACTTGGGGGTCCCTTGGAGTTGTGTCAGGCTCCGGGTTTTCCGCATGCGGCTCGGGTGGTTCGGGCTCCTGCGTGTGGTTTTTGGAAGCTGGCCATGTTTTGGTACTGCGTTTGGGAAAAAAGCTCCTATTCTGTGGAACCTTTCACGGTTTACAAAGTATGCGCTCAGGTCCCTGAGTAAATAGAAACTACATGCAACTACTTTTCTCCCAAGGGAAAGGATTCTGTCTTAGCTTTTTTATTCATCAGTACACTGTTGCCGTGTTGAAAGTCTTGGAGTCTTAGAGAAACTCTAATTCTGAACAGGCTGGTGCCGGTGCGTCGATGCTTTGGACGATGCAATCCGATCTTTTGGATGATGCAATTCGCAACTCTGCTTGGTATATCTTGGTATAAGTATAGATATGATAAAGCCAAAGCATCACTACGATCACACCAGCATGAGGATCAAGATGGATCAAGGCATGCTGTACCTCATCTAATCTCACTTGGCGAAAGTGATCATCCGCACTATCCCTTTCCGCAATGGGTTGGGGTTGCTTGTGCCCCAGACAAGGGTTGAAATAGATGAGCAATTTAGGGATCTGGGGTTTGGTCCAAAGCACTGTACCAGTTAGTCAAGGGTTGTCACTACCTTTGCTCGAGGCCAAAGGCCCCGACAGAACATCGATCAACCGCCTCCATCTATTCTCTTATAGATTGCGACTGCTGCTGAGCAGGGCGGACCCTCCAGTCTCAAGGCGCATCAACAACCTCTTGGCAAACCCAGCTGCATCTTTTAGGTCAACATTAACGCCAAGACCCAGCCGCTTTGTGTGACTCCCTCTCAGCTCCTTGGTCAGCCGCTCCGGTGATGTCGTGTGACCTGATGTGGGCTCCGGTGACGTCGTTGGGCGGTGCTCTGGGTCAACAATGGACACATGGACTTGTCTTCACAAATTAGGTGGTGCAACCCATATGAGCTGTGGGAATTGCAGGGTGTGCGGGTGATTCAATCTGATCCAGGAGTATTGAATGATATGAATATGATAGGCGCCTTTTGGTGACCTATGGGCCCAATACGATACATTTTCAAGAGTTAGATTCCAAGGCTGCTCCAAGCTTGGCCCATCCAAGTATGCGGAGGAGGACATGTCCTGGTAGCCTGATGTAGCCTGGTTCTGTTCAATTCTCAGTCGAGTGTCAAGGATCACGTTTGACCCCCGCCTGAGCTGATAGGGTGGGGTCTTGCTGATCCAATGAGATGCCAAGGGTTACCAGCACAG